CTGCTTAATAGTGTTTGTTCTAGCTGTACTATATGGATTTCATGTGGTTCGAATTAGTTCCATATGGTTCCAATAGCTTTTCATAAGTACCATATGGTACCTCAACTCACCCCCAAGAATTGACGGCGCCATCTGGCTGTGGAGGTCCTCCATGTAGGGGAGGCCCCCATGCGAATCCATCGGTTCCTGTTGCTTGTCCATCAGTCCAATAGAATGTATCTTTTGGAGCACACATCCCAACACGTGAGCAGGTTGGCTTTCTTTTGGCACCAAGCCAAATCGATTATTGATCAAACCCATGTTGATGCATCAATTTCAGATAAACAGCTGGAAAAATTGTTACAAAGACTACAACATGGTATTGGATTTGCACCATATGATTCAAAGCAAATGGTCATCGATTTGCACCATGTGGTTCATTGCTACGTACCATATGATCATCAATTTGCAGCATATGGTTGATCACTACGTACCATATGGTTCATCTCTATGTATCATATGGTCACCGATTTTCACCATATGGTTTATCGCAATGAACCGTATGGCTGCCGATTTGCATCATATGATTCATAGCTAAAGGTCACCATTTGCACCATATGAGTCATAATTATGTACTATATGGTCACTGTTTTGCACCATATGGTTCATCGCCATGTACCATATGGTCATCATTTGCACCATAGGGTTCATTGCTACGTACCATATGATACAAAATTTCATGAAACACATACCTGCCATTCTCATTCTCTCATCATCATTCTGCAATCCATACAACACTGCTCCCTGCGCAACACATAGTGGTTCGGCTTGATATTGGGTCATCGTACCAACGAAAACCTGAAAGTTTCTAGTTTTTGTAGTAATTCTATAGTTTGTAGTCTTTTACTTGAACACACCAATTGCCCTGTGATCGTTTGAACAGCATCCAGTCGGCTGGGCAGTTGGTCTTCTCTCTAGACGGGCGTGGGCGTAGTGGTGGTCGTGGCGGTCGTGGTCGACCTTCATGACCGTGGCCGTGACCGCCTCGACCGCCTTCATGGGATTCCGAAGATGAGCTACTCGAACTGTGGCCATTTTCACCGCCTCCGTAGAAGCCAAAAAAAATGAATTTTTCTGAAAGTTTTAAAAAAAGTTTAGAGTCGCTGGCCTTAAAAACTGTCATTGGAAGAAAAAAAGTGCCTTGTTCGCTGGTTTTTTGGGTTATAAAAATGCAAAAAAATTTTATTGCAAAGTCGATTCAAATTTCGGTAAACTGGGAAATTTGAGATTCGAAAATTAGATGAAATTAACTTCAAATTCTTCAAAAAAACTATTCGAAAAATGAATAAAGATGTTTCAAAAATCAGAGAAAAATATAAAAAATCACTTAATACTTTCAAATTTTTGGTTTTTAGCTCTCAAATATAGGCGACATTCGCTAAAAAAATCGTTCGAAAAATCAGAAAATAATTTTCAAAAATAATCTTTTCTAGGCTCCATTTTTCCATGGCATTATGATCCATCAATTTTCTCAAACATTTTTTTTTCAACCGGATTTTCAATTTTTGAGTCAAAAGATTGACTCATTTTTCTAACCTTTCCGAATCAAATTGTTCTCTGATCTGAATTTTTTGCGTGGGGAAAAAGTTTTTAATTGTAAGGCAAACTATACTTTTTTCCGATTTTTCATCCAAAAAATTATCACGATTTCTTATCAGTTTGAGGTTTGTGTGCGTCTTATTTTTTGAGAACAGAAAAAGATAAAAAGTTTTTGACTTTGGAGCAAAAATTGAAATAAAATATGATGAATGGGTTTTTGATCAGAAAATTGGGGATTCCCGGTCAGAGAAACATTGGTGGGGGCAGAAAGTGATAAGAAATTGGATTAAAGAGAAAAAGAGAAAAAAAGGATTTTCAGGATTTTCAGGAAGTTCGAAAAACTGGAATCCGGAAAAATCTGAAATTTGGGACCAGTATCAGGGGAAATTGGAAAATTGGATTTTAGCAGAATTTAAGTTTCTGTATTTCAGTATTTCAGAATCTCAGAAATTCAGAAACTCAGAAGTTCCAAATTCCAGAATCTCAGTATTTCTGAAACTCAGAAGTTCAGAAGTCAAAAATTCAGATTTTGAAATTTCAGAACTTCAGAATCTCACGATCTCGGAATCTCAAAATTTCAAAATTTCAAAATTTCAAAATTTCAAAACTTCAGTATTTTAGAATCTTCGAACTTCAGAACCTCAGAAGCTCAGAACTTCTAAATTTCAGAATTTCAGGTTTTCCGAATTTCAGGATCACAGAATTTCAGAATTTCAGAACATTTCTCTCTAGTGACTAACTTTGGACCAGCACAACCGTTTTGGCGCAACTTTCTGCACTTTTGGACCATTTTTTTCAGTTTTCCGGTTCCAAATGGCAACTTTTCGTATTTTGACCGCAAATGAAAATATAGATGATTTCATTTTTCTCCTCTCTGTCTCTTTGTTCTTATCAGTTAGACAAAGTGATTCACAAAACTTTCTGAATGAAAAAATCGTCATTTTCGTGGTTTCTGATAAGCTGCCTAAAATATATAAAACCTCCCGGGAAAGTATTCAAATTTGGTATCAAACAATTTTTTTGCAAAAAAAATGCGCCTACTATTCCTATGTTCACTTTTACTGCTACATGTTTCCGGCCACTATTGGGAGGTAGTTTTTGAAAAAATTCAAATTTTTATTAGAATAAAAAGTTCAGGAAATTTTTCTGACCTCCTCAAAAATCCATGGAGTCAGCGCTCAATGTGCAAATGACACGGAAACGTGGCAAAACTCACTGAAATTGGTCGCCGAGGTGTCTGTCGAGTGTCTAGTAGAGCGAAAATGCACCAAAGAGGAGGAAAAGATTATTGAGAAGAATTTCTATGCAGTGGAGCGTGAGTTTTTTTGAAACTGTGAAATTGTGAAATTCCGAATTTTCAAACTTTGGAATTTTTGAAGTTTAGAATTTTGGAATTTTAGAATTTCCGTATTTTTGAATTTTGCACGTTTCAAGCTTTTGAATTGTTAAATTGCTGAATTTTGACTTTTTCCGTTTTTCAAAAAACTTCGATTTCCAGAATACGACGCTTGGGGAAAAATCCCACTGACTGGTCTCTTTCAAATACCAATTCTCATGGATGGGTCCTATCAAGAATGCGAAAGAATTAGTGGACAAAAGTATGAAACCAATTATTGCTATATTATTCTGTTTCCGGGAAAGGTGGGTTAGAAATTTTCGGAATTTGTAGGAAAAACTGGACCAGAAAGCTGAAATTTTGAATCGTCGAGATTCTCATTTATTTTTAAATCAATTTTCTCTGTGGAAAGGTCCCAAATATAAACCAAAAGTCCAAAACAAGCTTGTCAAAAAAGATAAAAAATAGGCCAAACATGAAGTGAAAAAATTTCAGAAAAACATGGGGTCATTTACCCTGGTGGCCTAACTTTCGCAAGTTGTTTTTTCTAGGTCACAAAAGTTTAATGCCAAGAAATGGTCCAACATTTTAAAGTTATGTTTCTAGCCCGTAAAACTTGGCGGCCTAGAAAAATCATGTTGCGAAAGTTAGGCCACCATGTTAAATGGCATAGGGAACACATTAGCTGCATGTTAGATAATTTGTGTATCATCTGCAACGGTGGCCTAGAAAACTCTACTTGGGAAGGTTAGGCCATTATGATGACCTAGAAAAACGACAATGTGAATCTCAGGCTATTTCTAGGACATTCAGGATAGTAGCCTAGAAAAATCCACTTTCAAAAGATAGGCCACCATATTAAAATGGTCTAGAAATCACACCGGGTAGGTATTAAGCCATTTATAGCCGGAAAAAGTTGGTGGCCTAGGAAGCTCAACTTGCAAATGTTAGGCCACCTAGGAAACACATTAGCTGCATGTTAGGTCATTTTGGGACCATCAACTACTTAAAAATGGCTTAATATACAGAAAAAAGAACATTAATGAATTCCAAAAACCTCCCTTTTTTTCAGAATGCCACGTGTCACATGTCCGACGGTCAACCCACTTCAATCTTTCTCCGTGGAGCAGTATGCATGCCATATTCATGTTCTCAAGAAGACCTTCCATCAGTCTATAATCAAATTTCCAAGCAACCATTCACTGCTTGCGGAGCATTCTGCTCGAAATATCCCGTCAAAAAAACACCGGCATTTTGGGGATTCACTGCCTTCATGGCTGTTATGACAGCGATTATTTTGGCAGCTACACTGGCTGATTTTCTATTGGATTCGATAAAAAAGAATGAAGAAGTTAAAAGAGAAGACGGGAAATTGTTGAAAATGGCAATGGCTTTATCAATGTGGACAAATGCGGAGCTGTTACTGTCTGTGAAGGAGCAAAAGCCCGGATTCATTAAATGTTTGGATTGTATTCGATTTTTGTCAATGTTATGGGTTGTGACAGGACATACTTTCACGTATTTGATGGTTCCAGGTAAGAATTCTGGAGTTTGAGAAAATTAAGATTTTGGAATTCCAAATTCTGAATTTCCGAGAATTGAAAAAATTGACAACAAAAAAGGATCCAAAATCCGATTGCTCTATTTCCAAAAACAAAAATTCTAAAAATCAAGAACAGTTAAAAATTCCAGTTTTCAGTTTTTTACCAATTCAAAGTTTTTGAGTAAAAAATGTTGAAAATCCTATAATATTTTGAAATTTCAACAATTTCCAGATTCTGAAAATCCCAAACCGCTAAAAACCTTTTTCAGATCAAGTTCTATCCGTTCTTCCATTCACCGGAAAGTTCTGGAATCATTTCATAATGAACGCGTTCTTCTCTGTCGACACCTTCTTCCTCCTTTCCGGAATCGTCGTCGCCTATTTATTTTTCAAAAATCCTCTCAAAAAAGCTCAAATCACCAGTCCAATCACCTGGATTCTATTTTATGTTCACCGATATCTCCGACTGACACCGCCCCTAATGATTTTTATTGGATTTTTTGTGGTCTATGGATACTATATTCAAGGACCAGGAGTCGCTTCTCAGAATAGTGAGTTTTTCTTTTTTTTTAAATTTGAAATAGACAAAATTCAAAAATTCAAAAACTCGAAAACTCGAAAATTCAAAAATTACAGACCAATTAAATCCGCAAGTTGACGTTTGTGTACAGAATTGGTGGAAAAACCTACTGTACATTAATAATTTGGGACCAGATGTCAACCAATGCTACGGCATCACTTGGTACTTGGGTGTGGACACCCAACTATACTTAATTGCCCCAATTTTCTTAATTGCCCTCTTTTTCTCGTTTGCCGCTGGAACCGCTTTATTGACTGCCGGTATTATGGGAAGTGTGATTACTGTATACGTACTGTATTATGTCAATGATTTGCCTGGTGACTTTTTTGGAAATGGGTTAGTTTTAAACACAAATTTCTGAATTTCTGAATTACTGATAAATCGATTTTTCGATTTTCAGAATTTTCGAATTGTTGTCTTTCAGAACTTTCGTTTTCTTGGAACTTCTGAAAATCCAAAAAAAAATTTTTTTTTCGAAAATTTCAATTTCCAGAGACAACACCAACTTCTACGACCTAATCTATGATAAGCCATGGGTCCGTGGAACACCATACCTTATTGGATTATTCGTTGGATATCTTCTAGCAACATTTGGAAAACGTAGAATTCGTTTAAATTGGGCACTTTCTTGTACTGGATGGCTAATTGCTTTTGGATTGGCAGTTATGTGTCTTTTTTCAACCTATGATTATGATAAGAGAATTTATTGGAGGTGAGGAAAATTTTTGGAGGAAAAAAATTCCCAAAAAACTGTTTTTCAGCGTTTTCATCCGAGCATCCTACTACAATTTCTCGAGAATCGCCTGGTCAATTGCTGTCTCCTGGGTTATCATTGCTAATCATATGGGATGGGGAGGTACAGTAATCCAATTGACTTTTTCTCAAGTTTCAGAAATTTCTGAAAATCAGAAAATCAGAAACTCAAAAATTCGGAAATCCGAAAAAATCAAAAACCGAAATTCCAAAAGTTGGAAATCCGGAGAATCGAAAATTCAACAATTCAAAACCTCAGAAATTCAGAAATTCAGAAAATCGGAAATCTGAAAAAAACCATAATTGTGAAATTTCGAAACATTCGAATTTCAGAACATTTTACGAAATTTCAGTTTTTTTCCGAATTTTAGAATCCTGGAATTTTGAAGTTTTCCAAAAAAAAAGTTAAAAACCAAAGATTTTCAAATATTCAAATGTTCAGAATCCCAGAACTTCTGGATTTTCCAAATTTCAAAATTTTCGAATTCAGAAATTCCAAAAACCTAGAAAATTCATTTTTCCCAAATTTCCAGGACCAATCGACAACTTCATGTCCCATCCAATGTGGCAACCGTTCGGTCGTCTATCATATTGTGCATATATTGTCCATTTCGTAGTACTATACCTGTATTTGAGCATCGGCGACGCCAGTATTCATTTTTATTCCAGTTTTCAAATTGTGAGTTTTTTTGAACATTTTGAAATTCCAATTTTTCTCTATTTTCAGTTCATGTACTACTCAGTGCCTACAACATTGTTATCCTACATTTTTGCATTTTTTTGGAGTTGTTTCTTCGAAATCCCATTTTTAAAGTTGGCATTTTTTAATTGAAAATCTCATTGTTAATTTAAAAAACAATTCCAGACTCGAAAAGATGCTGATTGAGCTCCTGCTCGGCTCTGGAGGAGCCAGAAATTCTGGAAAAATTGAAGATTCCGGAAGGATTCAGAAACCAAAAACCGAAGAATTGTGGGACGCAAAGTAGAGAATGTTCCAGAAGAAATTGAAAATAAGGAGACGTTACGAGTATAACTTTGTTTAATGTTTGAATTTTTTAAGTTTTCAATGTACAAATAAAGATTTTTTCATAAACAAATTTTTCTAGGAAAAAAATTTGGACGTTTCGGGAAATCTATGAATCAAAATTTAAAAAATATGAATTTATAAAAATTGTTTAAAATCGGAATTCGGGAAAAATTCAACAATCCCAAGCAGCTTAGAATTTTATAAAAATTACTTATTATGATTTTCAGAAATTTCCAGTATTCATAAAATCGGCATTTTCGGAAATTTTGAAAAATCACAAAACTGGAAAATCAAAAATTAAGAAGAATCTAAAAAAATAAGACATCCGAAAATTCTGAAAAATTCGAATATTCTAGAAAACTGGAAAAAGTGGGCAAGTTTCAAATTTTCATGATTACAGGAATTTGAAGAATTTCAGGAAAATCTAAAATTTAAGAATTTCCAGGAAATTCAGAATGTAGGAAAATTTAGCAAATTCGTAGTATTAAGGAAAATTTGGCAACTAGGAATTTTTCTGATAGTCATAGATTTTGGATTTTCAAAAAATTTGAAAATACTTTGAACTCGAAAAAAAATCCAAATTTCAAATTTCAAAAACTTAGAAAAAACTTTCAAGGAAATCTCAAAACTCAGAAATTCTAAAATTCTAAAATTCTAAATTTCAGAAACTCAGAAACTCAGAAATTCAGAAATTCAGAAATTCTAAAATTCTAAAATTCTGAAATTCTAAAATTCTAAAATTCTGAAATTCTAAAATTCTAAAATTCTAAAATTCTAAAATTCTGAAATTCTAAAATTCTAAAGTTCTAAAATTCTAAAATTCTAAAATTCTAAAATTCTAAAATTCAGAAATTCAGAAACTCAGAAACTCAGAAATTCAAAAATTCTAAAATTCTAAAATTCTGAAATTCTAAAATTCTAAAATTCTGAAATTCTAAAATTCTAAAATTCTAAAATTCTAAAATTCTAAAATTCTAAAATTCTAAAATTCTGAAATTCTAAAATTCGAAAATTCTAAATTTCAGAAATTCAGAAATTCAGAAATTTAGAAATTCAAAAATTCAAAAATTCAAAAATTCAGCATAATTTATTTAAAAAATAAAAGTATGTATTCAATAATATATCAGTTTTCGTTATAATCATGTACAATCGCTCTATTTGGAACTTTTCTCGTTTCAATGACGTCGAAATAAATGTGATTGTAAACTTGCTGGATGTCGATCACCAAAATATTCTCCTCCGAGTCCTTGATTCGAAAATACCAAAGACTTGAAGATCCAGAAAGATACGCAGGACCCCACAAATTGAAAATTTCCTCGTTTTCATTGAAAATATTCACTGCAAGCCAGGAATATTCGAATTTCAAAGAACTGGTGATAGCCTGAAACTTTATCAATCAAAAAGTTTTCAAGTTTAATCTTCAAAAACCTTCTTCAAAAAGTCCAAGTCCCTTGCGGAAATTGTGTTTGATTGTACACGATATCTTGAAAAATGACAGATATCTTCTACTTTTAGATTCACCACATGAAAATCACAATTCATCTCCTTCGCTTTTTTCCATTGCTCAATTTTCACTATTTCGTCGATTTCAATCTCCATATTATCCTCCAATGAATACAAATCGATAATTTTCAGAGCTTCTAGATCAGCAATCGGTAAAAATGGAGTCACTTGAGACTGATGGTACGTTTTTATACTCAATTCCCTTGTTTTGATTTTTCGACCGGATGCATTGAACATATTGCTCAGCTTAATTGGTAAAGTATGAATCGAAGACTCCGTTTGGAGTTGAAAATCATCGAAATGAAAATATAGCCTTTGCAAATTGGATTTTTGAAATTTCAGAATCCATTCTAGATCTTGATCGCCACATCCACAATATTCAAATTTGCCATATTTGTTATTTTTCCATTGAAACTTCTCGAATTATTGATTTCAGAATACTCAAAGCGATAAAAAGAATCATCGGGACCCACGAAATCAAAAGTTATCTTCTTTTCGTCTTTGTCAGAAATAATTTCAATTTGTGCGAATTTTGAATCCGGCAATTTCGAATCTTTCAAGTCGTCAATGAAATTCCGGAAATCTCGACAGACTTGGCGAAGGGTCAAGCTGAAAATTTGGATTGAAAAATTGATCGAATTAAAAAAATGAACTCACACAGCTTTCAAGTCTGAAAATTCTATAATTTTATCCAATACCAACTCGGGCACTTCAATGATTGATGCCATTTTTGACAATAGAAAAATAGAAGAAAATAGTTCAGAGTGATCGAAAAAAAAGTCGATTTGAAAATGGAAATTGTGTGAACTTATCGCCGCTCACATGTGTGTTTTGTCTGCGTCTCCGAGGATTCAACACTATTTTTTTCTTTTCTGCTGTCGTCTCTTACCTCCTCGGCGATATACAATATTTCGCAACATATCAGTTTTGAAAAAGAAAAAAAAATCATAGAGAATTGAGAAGAACCTGAAGTTCCAGGAAATTTGAAAATGCAGAAGAAAAATGCAGAAAAATCAAAAATCCAAAAACTCAAAAAAATCGAAAAATCTAGAAAAATTCATAAACTCTGACATTGAGAAAAAAGTTGAAAGTTTTGCGAGATTCAAAACATTTCAGTTTAAAAAATCACAGGAATTTTTAAGAAATTTCAAAAACTTCAAAACTTTCAAAAAATCTCAATTTAAACATTTTGAAATTCGTGTTTTTTGTTCCAAAACTCGCTACTAGCTATTATCCTTATTTTTAAACATGTATTTTACTGTATATAATTCCTCCCTTTACATTGTCTTACAATTAATGCACGTGTGGAACTAACATATCCGAACAGTAAGATGTACTTCAAGATATTTTTCACATTGAGATCAAATGTACCCCATGAACACGATGTATCGTTTTGATGTGCTTTTGCATAGTGCTCGATTTATCAATGTAGTCGATGTTTTATCTAATTTTTATTGAAATAAAGTTTATACACAAATTCCACAAATTCAGAAAATCAAAATTGGAAAATCAGTTTTCGTTATAATCATGTACAATTGCTCCATTAGGAACATCTTCAGTCGCTGACTTGTATGGTTTTTGTTGACAAAATTGTTTTGGTGGTATCCGGAATAAAAACTAATAAAAATGAGAACTCTCTATTTAGTTCAGGATCCTTTTTCTTGGGAAAAATACTTTCGAAACGATCTCGTTTTTGCCAATGTTTCAAGGTTCTCCTAAAAATTGGCAAGTTTTCAGCTAGTTTTCTGTGTTCCAAATGAATTTATTTCAACCCTTATTAAACTTCAAAAAGGCAAAATTCTGAAAATTTCAACAAACTTCAAAATCCGCAAAAAGTCAATGTCTCCTTGTTAGAACAATATATCGAAAATTAAGTTTATTCTAAAAGAATCGATGAAAGCAATATAAAAACAACACGAAGTTCAATTATTAAGTTTCTTCACTACCACTTGGTCTGGAACATTATCCATTTGAATAACCTCAAAATCGATTTGTTTCTCTTCTGACGAAATTTCGACTTTCAACATGTTTTCATCTGAATTCTGAACTCGAAAATACCATTTTCGATAGATTCCATCGATATCAAATGGTCCCAAAGCACTCGAAAGTTCTTCATTCCAAAATTCAACTCCGATATGGGAATATTTAAAATTCGGAGATTTAATATAGCTCTGAAAATTTGAAATTTGAGATTTTTAAAAATAAAATATGGCTTACCTCTTTCAAGAAGTTTAAATCAGTTCCCGAAATCGATTTAACGTAAATATTGCATTTTGAAAAATGACTAGTTAATTTCACATCCATATTCAAGGAATATGGTCTATTAATGAACTCCTTCGCATTTTTCCATTGCTCAGTTTTAGCGATTTGGTCCATTTCGATATCTGAATTATACCAAAGATGAAAATCGATCATTTCAAGAGTTCCTGGGTCAACCAATGACAAAATTGACGAAAATTCCGATTGCGCCAGAATTTTTAAACTTTGCGTTTTGAATTTTAGAGCACCAAATATATTGCTCATCTGTAGTCCAGCAATCGGAGGCGTCGAAAAAATTAAATCTAAAAATTTCAAAATTGATTTTTGAAATTTCAAAATTCGCGCCAAATCTTGAATAGCAACGATGAAAATGTCTAAAGTCTCCAGAATTCTTGATTTTCCATTGAAAATTCTTGAATTATCCCGTTTGGAGTATAAAGTACTGTCAGATGATTCGTCAAAATTCACAAATTCAAATTCAATTGATTCTTCATAAGTCACTATTATTTGGATACTCTGAACATTTGAATCCGGCAATTTTGAATCATACAATTCGTCTATGAAATTTCGAAAATCTCGACAAACTTGGCGAAGTGTCAGACTGAAAAATTCGCATTGAAAAGTTTGAACATTTTCAAAAATTTCAAAAATACTCACACAGCTTTGAAATCTGAAAATTCTATAATTTTTTCCAATATCAGTTCTGGCATTTTTAAAATCGATGGCATTTTTTGGTGTAGAGGAAATTTTCAGAAAGTGACTCTATTCCCGGCGACAATATTTATTTACTATGCGTCTCTATAAATTTCACACTATTTTTTTTCTTATCAACGTTAGCCGGTTTGTTGACTAATATTTCGCAACAGATCAGCGTTGAAAACTTTTTTTTTTCAAATTATTTTTTAAATGTCAACTAGACCGGCGGAGATTGTAAATTTGGAAACCAGACGTTTTAGAACTGGACACTTCGCAACTAACGGTTTTCAGCCCAACTTTTCAGATCGCTTTAGGGAATTTGAAAATTTTAAAATTGCGGGAATCAAAAAAAAATGAAGAAAAAAATATTGTCAATAGGAATCATACGTGCCAGCAGCTGATAAGAAATTGGAAATTATTAGGTTGAACCGAAATTTTTATTAGGTTGAATTTAGGTTGAATTTAGGTTATTAGGTTGAATTTAGGTTGAATTTAGGTTATTAGGTTGAAACCGAACCGTTTTGTTTTGACAACATTTTTGATCAGATTTTTCTCGAAGCGGAGATGGTTAGATAAATGGAAGTAACATCCATATGAATCAATAGTTGTCTGCCAACACTCCTGTAATTTCTTGATTCCATCGGCCTAGAACGTGGAGAGATGTGATTAAAAAAGCGGGTCAACTCCTTTTTGGTGTCATCTTTTTAATTGAAGTCTTTTCTACCAAGATGACTTTGTGACCATGTATAACTCCTCCACTTCGATGTTGAAATTTTGAAATTATTTTCTCTCTATTTTCGAAATGTCTTCCCTTTCTGAAATGCCAGAGCTTGTAATGGAAACTATCACTGGATTCTTGGATTTTCGATCTGTGTAAGTTTTTGTTGTACCCATCGCTGATCCAGAAGCTCTGAAAATTATCGATTTATTTCGGTTGGAGGATGATATGGAGATTGAAAGCGACGAAATAGTGAAAATTGAGCAAAGGAAAAGAGCGAAGGAGATGAGATTTCACTTTCATGTGTTGAATCTAAAAGTAGAAGATATCTGTCATTTTCCAAAATTTAGTATAAAATGGAGCACGATAACCACAAGAGATTTGGATTTGCTGAAAAAAGTTGGCAAATTTTAAATTTGAACATTTTCAAACTGAAAATACTTTAGACTGTCACAAGTTTTTTCGAAATTCGAGATTTTCATGATTGAAGTGGAAAACTTTAATGAAAAAGAGGAACTTTTAAATTTGTGGGGTACTTCGTATCTTTCTGAATCTTCAATTTATTGGTATTTTCGAATCAGGGATTCGGAGGAAAATATTTTAGTGGTCGATCATCAGCAAGAGTTTAATCACATGTTTTTCTTTGCCATTGAAACGAGGGATGTTTCGAATGGAAAGATTGTACACGATTATAACAAATACTGATATTTCATTTATATAAATTCAATAAATTTTGTTTGAATAAATTAGGTTTGAAGTTTTTGAGTTGTCCAAATCGGCTTACAATATACAGAGAATGTGCTTCAACTTATCAGATAGTGTGTTTTAAGACAAGTTTTGGAACAAAAAACACGAATTTCAAAATGTTTAAATTGAGATTTTTTGAAAGTTTTGAAGTTTTTGAAATTTCTTAAAAATTCCTGTGATTTTTTAAACTGAAATGTTTTGAATCTCGCAAAAATTTCAACTTTTTTTCTCAATGTCAGAGTTTATGAATTTTTCTAGATGTTTCGATTTTTTGAGTTTTTGGATTTTTGATTTTTCTGCATTTTTCTTCTGCATTTTCAAATTTCCTGGAACTTCAGGTTCTTCTCAATTTCTCTATGATTTTTTTTTCTTTTACAAAACTGATATGTTGCGAAATATTGTATATCGCCGAGGAGGTAAGAGACGACAGCAGAAAAGAAAAAAATAGTGTTGAAACCTCGGAGACGCAGACAAAACACACATGTGAGCGGCGATAAGTTCACAAAATTTCCATTTTCAAATCTTTTTTTTCCATCACTCTGAACTATTTTCTTCTATTTTTTTATTGTCAAAAATGGCATCAATCATTGAAATGCCCGAGTTGGTATTGGAAAAAATTATAGAATTTTCAGACTTGAAAGCTGTGTGAGTTCATTTTTTTTAATTCGATCAATTTTTCAATCCAAATTTTCAGCTTGACCCTTCGCCAAGTCTGTCGAGATTTCCGGAATTTCATTGACGACTTGAAAGATTCGAAATTGCCGGATTCAAAATTCGCACAAATTGAAATTATTTCTGACAAAGACGAAAAGAAGATAACTTTTGATTTGGTGGGTCCCGATGATTCTTTTTATCACTTTGAGTATTCTGAAATCAATAATTCGAGAAGTTTCAATGGAAAAATAACAAATATGGCAAATTTGAAAATTGTGGATGTGGCGATTCAAGATCTAGAATGGATTCTGAAATTTCAAAAATCCAATTTGCAAAGGCTATATTTTCATTTCGATGATTTTCAACTCCAAACGGAGTCTTCGATTCATACTTTACCAATTAAGCTGAGCAATATGTTCAATGCATCCGGTCGAAAAATCAAAACAAGGGAATTGAGTATAAAAACGTACCATCAGTCTCAATTGACTCCAATTTTACCGATCGCTGATCCAGAAGCTCTGAAAATTATCGATTTATTTCGGTTGGAGACTGAAATCGATATGGAGATTGAAATCGACGAAATAGTGAAAAGTGAGCAATGGAAAAAAGCGAAGGAGATGAATTGTGATTTTCATGTGGTGAATCTAAAAGTAGAAGATATCTGTCATTTTTCAAGATATCGTGTACAATCAAACACAATTTCCGCAAGGGACTTGGACTTTTTGAAGAAGGTTTTTGAAGATTAAACTTGAAAACTTTTTGATTGATAAAGTTTCAGGCTATCACCAGTTCTTCGAAATTCGAATATTCCTGGCTTGCAGTGAATATTTTCAATGAAAACGAGGAAATTTTCAATTTGTGGGGTCCTGCGTATCTTTCTGGATCTTCAAGTCTTTGGTATTTTCGAATCAAGGACTCGGAGGAGAATATTTTGGTGATCGACATCCAGCAAGTTTACAATCACATTTATTTCGACGTCATTGAAACGAGAAATGTTCCAAATAGAGCGATTGTACATGATTATAACGAAAACTGATATATTATTGAATACATATTTTTATTTTTTAAATAAATTATGTTGAATTTTTGAATTTTAGAATTTTAGAATTTCTAAATTTCTGAATTTCTGAATTTCTGAAATTTAGAATTTTAGAATTTCAGAATTTTAGAATTTTAGAATTTTAGAATTTTAGAATTTTAGAATTTTAGAATTTCTGAGTTTTGAGATTTCATTGAAAGTTTTTTCTAAGTTTTTGAAATTTGAAATTTGGATTTTTTTTTCGAGTTCAAAGTATTTTCAATTTTTTTGAAAATCCAAAATCTATGATTATCAGAAAAATTCCTAGTTGCCAAATTTTCCTTAATACTACGAATTTGCTAAATTTTCCTACATTCTGAATTTCCTGGAAATTCTTAAATTTTAGATTTTCCTGAAATTCTTCAAATTCCTGTAATCATGAAAATTTGAAACTTGCCCACTTTTTCGAGTTTTCTAGAATATTCAAATTTTTCAGAATTTTCCGATGTCTTATTTTTTTAGATTCTTCTTAATTTTTGATTTTCCAGTTTTGTGATTTTTCAAAATTTCCGAAAGCACAGTCTGACTAAGCACAGTCTGATAAGTTTTTTTGTTTTCTGAAATTCGATTTCTCAACAGCAAAAAAAATGTAATAATGTATGAACTTATTTATTAAAATGAAATGAAGTATAAGCAATACCAACAATGATAGAAAATCAAGAATAGAGCATCAGTTGTCGTTATAATCATGTACAATCGCTCTATTCGGGACAGCATTCAATTGGATAATATCAATAGAAATCTGTTGATATTCTAAAAGCCTATTATAAATATGTTGTTTTTGACAATTTCAATGTGCAAAACTTTCTCCTCTGGATTGTTGATTCGAAAATACCGACGACGACCAGTTCCGAAATAAAAAGCGGGTCCCCAAACATCGGTAATTCCCTCGTTTTCATTAAAGTTTTCTAATTGAATCTCATATCTTGCGAAATTCGTAGAAGTGATGAAAGTCTGAAATATTTACAGATAAGAAATTTTTAATTTAATGTCCAGAACATTTTTCAGAAAATCCAAATCTCGAGCAGAAATCGAAAGCATTTTCATCCATACTCTTGAAAAATCGCACATGTCTTCAACCTTCATATTCAATGTATAGAAATCACAGAAAATATTTTTCGCGTTTTTCCATTGCTCAGTTTTAACGATTTCGTCCATTTCAATTTCAAAAGAAATAAAATTTTCAAATAATTTTTTTTCAAACCCTGATTTTTAATCATGTTTCCAGTGGTTTGTTGAGTTCTGAGAGAACTTTGTTGAGCCATAATAGAGCCAGAAGATTTTTTGAGGATCCTAGGAATAGTTGTTTATTGAAATAAGTGTTGCTTCAAATCAGTCAATTCTCAAAAAAACATGAATAAATGTCGACAAATTTCGATGAACAGGATTTTCTTCTCAGAATTCTTCATTGTCGAACACAATGATATTTTCCAGTACAAGCTCTGGCATTTCAGAAAGGGAAGACATTTTGAAAATTGAAAGAAGAAATGAGGGGAAAAATGACAATTTCTTATCAGCAACGAAGAAATTTTCACTCTTCGAATTTCGATTTGAAACTGTTTACATTTGACGATATTTCAAAGTTTCGAAATTGTACTGATTATGTCATGCATTGGAAATTCAGATAATTTTTATTCAGAGAAAAACACAAAAAGAAATATGTGTAAATTTCTGGGATTTTTTAGAACTTGCGTTTTTTTTGAGCTTGTATTGGAAAATATCGTAGGTTTTTTGAATTTCCAAGCAGTGTGAGTTTTTCGGAATATTATTACCGTAAAACCTCTAAAAGAACGACACCCGGATCGTCCACTTTGAGCCTATATATCTCATTTTCTGTGAAAGATATCAAAAAGTGGCTAATTAGTAAAATGTTGCTGATATCCTGATAAACATTTTACTAGTTAACCACTTTTTGATATCTTTCAAAAGAAGTGAGATATATAGGCTCAAAGTGGACGATCCGGGTGTCGTTCTATTAGAGGTTTTACGGTAATTAAAAATTTGAGTTTTTCAGATTCACTCTTCGCCAAGTTTGTAGAGATTTTTGAAAATTGCCAGATTTAATTTAATTTGTTTATTGATCAGGTGTAATAAAACATTAGAGGGCAGGACATGAAAGACTCAGAAAAAATGCCCCTCACGAGGCCGATCTGAGTAGGGGAGGGGAAACGGGATAATTTAGATATTTGACACAGGAAAGATGTAACCGGTAGAAAAGGAGAAATAGGGAGCAAATATATCAATAACGGGTAATACTGGAAGAAATTAAGGATTCAAACTCGGAAGGTAGGAGAAATCGGGTAACTTGGGAAGTGATGGCGTTCCACAGGGGAACAATTGAAGAAAAATAGTCAGAGGAGTAGGGCTGAACAATAATTAAGTTCATAGGGCGACGAGGGGAGGAGGAGTATTTGACATGTGCATTTAGGTTAGGTAAGTAGGCGGAGCCATTTAAAAATTTATAGAGAAGAATTAGTTGAGCTTTTAGCCTACGATGTCGAATGGAGAACATATTGAGGATAGAGAGACGATCAGAATAGGAACTGTACTGGATATTACAACGCTGGAAAATACACTTAGAGAAAAATCTTAAGGGAGATTCTAGTTTTAGAGCAAGGCGAGAAGAAGGCGGAGGGGAATAAACTACAGAACAATATTCAAGAATCGGGAGAACATAACATTTGAAAAGATGAATGTAGAATTCTGGAGACTTAGATCTACATGACTTTAAGAGTTGTTTGGAGCGGAGAAGAGCTACAGATGTGATTTTGTTGATGTGAGCAGAGAATTTGAGAGAGGAATCAGTAATGAGACCCAAGTCCAAATTGATTGAGCTTAACAGGAAGCTTAGGAATCGATGAATCATATGAAAGTTGAGAATCTTTAAAACAAAAATTAAGCCGTTTTAAAGTTGACTTTTGAAACCTTAAAATCAAATTCAAATCTTCAATTACTACGTCCACAATATCCAAATTTTCCAAAATAGTCGTTTTTTCTTTGAATATTCTAGAATTCTCCGATTCAGAATACTCGAACCGATAGATAGAATCCTCGGATTCCCAGAAATCCAAATGTATCGTGTTATCACTATTTTACGCATAAAGGTTGATATCTTCGAATTTCGAATCGGCCAATTTCGAATCATTCGAATCGTCGATGAATTTTCGAAAATCTCGAAAAACTTGGCGTAGTGTTAGACTGAAAAGATGCATTGAAAATTCAAATAATTTTGTAGGAAAAAACACTCACACAGCTTTAAAGTCTGAGAATTCAATAACTTTTTCCAATACCAGCTCTGGCATTTCAATGATTGATGGCATTTTTGAAAATGGAGAAATAGAAAAAAAATTATCATGGAGAATGAAAAGAAAAGGGTGAATTGTTGGTTTTATACATATGTGTTATCTCTGCGTCTCTCAGAGTTTCACACTATTTCATTTTCTATCATTCCGTCTCTGTTAATCAATATTCCGTCTCTGTTAATCAATGTTTTATACATATGTGTTATCTCTGCGTCTCTCAGAGTTTCACACTATTTCATTTTCTATCATTCCGTCTCTGTTAATCAATATTTCTCAAGATAAGAAACATGAAAAAGTTACATTTGAAAGTTGTTCTTTCGCATTTTTGTTTTTTTGGTTGAAATATATTAAAGTGAAGATTGAAAATTTCGAAAGCAATATAATTTTTATTCATTGGATTTATCAGACAAGTACAAAAATATAATTCAGTTAACATTTCAAAAATTCCGATTTTCGTTTAACCCTCAATCCGAGACATTTGAAAAGTGCTCGAAATTTTCCGCGTACTAAGATCCTTTCTCAATTCTCCGGAGCGAAAATACTTTTTTAACATCTTCCGAGTCGATGGACTTCCCAAATAGTAAACGATAAAGTTGATAGCACAAATTGTTTCCAAACGAAAGTAGAATGTTAAGTCTCGAACTTCCTGGGGCAGACTGTTGTAAGTTTCTGAAAAATGATTCAAAAAATGTTTAAACAAGATGTCCATCTGCAAAAAAAAGCAAAAAGAAACTTTGGAGGAGCGGGGGTTTGAACCCCGGACTTCTCGCATGCGAAGCGAGCACTCTACCACTGAGCTACACCCCCGAACACGTAGTCTGCCCACCGAAATCAAACAAGAACCCACCGGAAACGTGCGCATGAGGAGGCTGCCGACTTCATAGAAAGAGAGACCAACTGTGATGGCCACTGTCTGTCTCATCAACATGTGCTCTCTTCGGATTTGGCTCTGTGCTAAGGAATTAGAACAGGACATTGAAATTACAGAAGACTTTTGACGGATTCTCGAGAAGATGTCGTAACGGATAGACTTTAAATAAAGCATCATGATGACGTTAATGAACAAAAGAGTTGTTGGGACCCAAATGGCATTGATATTGGTGAATTTTGTGACGGGATGTCTTTCAGGAGCACAGGCAGTTAGGAAGACTAGTGTGGAGGCAAAGAAGTTGACAGGGCAGTAAGAGAGGCGAGGGATTAGGAGCAGGGTGAAGCAGAGAATCTGAAAATTGAAGAAAAGTTGTTTGAGCTGAAAAAAATGATTAAAAACAGTTTAAAACTTGTAAAAATAGATAATTTGAAAAAGAAAATTTTAATTTTAACGTTTTTTTTGAACTTGTAAAAACTAATTTTATTCTTCTAAAATTTGAAATACCGTAAAACCTGTAATAGAAGCCCCCACCTTCACAATGTTATCTTTGAGCTTAATTATCTCGATTTCTGTGAGAGATATCAAAAATGTGTAAACTGATTAAATGTTTGTGACATTATGATAATCAATTCAACAGTAGACTATTTTTTTTTATATCCTTTACAAGAACCGAGATCATTTGACTCAAAGTTAAAAGTGGAAGGGCCATTGTATGACAGGTTCTAAGGGATTCAACGCCAATCCAAGCCAAAAATCACACGCCAAAAATAACACGTCAAATAAAAATTCCAAAAATTTTGAATAAAAAATAATAATTTTCCCACAAATCTACAGTAATCCGACGGCTTCAACTCCTATCAGGGGTCTCAATTCTAAAATTCATATCTTGATTTTAGTATCAAAAAATTCGTCGTAAAATTCTGCACAGATTCTACTTTTTTTCATTATGAATGGATCAACAGAATTTTTGAAAATTCCCCAAAACCTTTAAAAATGCCAAAATTTAGTTGATTTTCTGGAAATCCTATCAGGACCTTTATTTTTGGTTCAAGTTTGACGTTTTTCAGGTCATTCTATTCGTTTTAAAATTTTCTACAATCTCTACTTATTTTGAAAAAGAAATGTGTTGATCCAGAATTTTTTATTGCCAAGAAAGATGATTTTTCCCTGTGTCGAGAAAAGCGCCAATACATCAGAAAAAAATCAGAAAAACTCGATTTCCAATATTATTCGCCGTGTCTCGTAAAAAAGTAATAACTCACCAGAATCAAAAAGCTATAGAAAAAGATGCGTTTTTGACCGAAAACGCGTTGATCCGTTGGGCGAATCAAGATAAAAAATCGATTCGAGGTCATGAGAACACTGACACACATTGGAATGAAATATGTCAATGTTCCGAGCATTGTGAATTCACGACCAATCATTTCACGGTATGCTGAAATTGTAGGAATTGGAAAAAACGGAATTTCGGAGATTTCGTGGAATCTAGAACGTCCAGAAGAATTGGAAAACACTCGAAACTCTTTGTTTCTGTTATATTTGAGATTCTAAGATTCCCAACTTTCGAGTTTCTGAATTTCTGAAATTCCGAACTTTCAAGTTTCCATTCCAGATTATTCCAAAAACTCCCATCCCAACTCACACAAATATTCATGATACGGTAGCAACAAGTACGTCAAAAAGTCCGTAATGAATGCAATTTTACACAAAACTCCACAAATATTCATCACCGTTAAATAAGCAAATGGAATGTTCTGATCATTACGGTAGGCATATGTAGCCATGAGCAATGCGATATCATATAACATAAATAAGAATGCCAAAAAACAAAAAATGAGTTGAAAAACGACATGAAACATTGGAATATGTTCGAACATGACTTTTTAAGAGGAAATTCTGAGCTTTCGGTATAGAAATTCAGTTAGCGTAATCGAATTTTCGGATAAATAACAACAAATTCCAAATTTACGCGCTCGCGAAAAATTTCTTGATTAAATTATTTTTTTGTCACTCTCACACCTTCAAGAAATTGGTTTCCGTGATCGTGACTCTTCGGGAAATCAGCTGGAGTAAAAGTATTAAAAAAAAATAATCAGGAAACAAAAACTTTTTGTTTATGCTGACATTTTTGGAGGTCAAGGGTTGTAGGAGGAAGTTAAGATGACTAAAAATTGGGTTACGGTAGAACTTGAAACTCGGGAATTTTGAAATTCTGAAATTCTGGATATACAATACAAATATTGTGTTATACCAGCCAGTTAACCGCGCATCTGGCGCTTCAAACATCTGGCTGGTGCGCCTTCGGCGCAATTTAACCTCATTTTTTAACTTATTCGTCGCTTCGCTCCTGATTCTTCTTTAAAGGTGGGGGACATGAGAAAATTAATGTTCTCGAAATTCTGTTTAAATATGCCCTTCGAGGAGTTGAACTTGTGGGAGACGAAGATTGAGGTGCGGGGTCGCAACCGACTGAGCCACGTGGGCAAAAGTGAAGCGAAAGTGAAATGGTAAACATAATGGTGAGGACGACAGCTGTACGCAGAGTGACATTAAGCGTTGTACACCGTCACGGTAGAATGTATACTCTGGCCTAGGGTTGTTGTTGGCTCCCCAAGAAAGTTCACAGGCCCAATCTTTTTTCATGTTATTTGCATTCATCGCCTGTTTTCTTTTTAGATTGGAGGTTATCGCCCATTTAGGTTTCAATATTGGCGTCAGGCCAATATTCTCACATGAATTACAATTTTTACTTTACTAGTGATCTATCTGAGCATGTCTCCAACTTACACTTCATGACCAAATATGTTTTTTGTTTTTGCGAAACGGCAAAGAGCTTTGAGAAAAATGGGTCAAAAGATACCTTTCAGTTGATTTCAATCTGATTTCAATTTTGAAACTTGAAAAATGCACTTTTCGATTTATTTAAAATGAAAATTGAATGGGTTTTCTTTCGATACAGTTCATGAATTGTAACTTGAAGACGAATTTTAGATAGATCCGTAGTTAGAGAACTTGAACGTTTTTGAGTTTCAAATTTTGAATTTTCTAAGATTTTGAGATTTCGAATTTCGAAATTTTCGGGATATTTTTGGATTACTGAGAAATTTTAGAATTTCAAAACTATGTTTCCTTCAAATCCTGGATATTTGAATTCTTGCGAGTTTTGAATTACTTGAATTCCTGAAAATTTCACAAAAGGAAAATGAAGATCGGAAAATGTATATTTCATAGACTTTTCAAGTATCCTCGATTTCAGTTTTCTGAAATTTCAGAATTTTTGACATTGTTAATTTTTCGAAAAATTCTCCAAAATTTTGGAATTTCTGATATCCTCAGTTTTTGAATTTCTCAATCTTTGCATTTAGTTTTTTTCGTAGAAGATTTTGAATTTCCGAGATTTTGTTTCCAGTTTTTTGGCTTTTTAGGACTGCTGCATTTTTTAAATACTTCATTTTCTGAAGCTTTTGTTCTAGAATAATTTTATTAATCGAATTTTGAAGGAAACTAAATAATATGAATTTCTAAAATTTCTTGAATTTATGAGCATCGCAATTTCCTATTTTTATTGAATATCTTTTTTCAAGATTGAAAAATTAATTTATTTTCTTTGAATTTCGGCTGCTGTTATTTGCCTACTAGCTACAAAAAATCTATAATCTACAGAAATCCCTTCAATTTTTCCCTTCAAATTCTCAAAATTCAAATTATGAAAACAGGCGTGAAATGCCTGTCTATAAATTGGCATTGGCGACCAATGCCAAAAATAAATATTGGCGTGTCTCGCCAAACCCAAAAATTTCTTGGCGCCAAGAAATGCCAACTTTAACAAGCCTACTCTAGCCCCAACAGTCCCCGGTAAAATCTCCTTTCCCCCCACCTTTAAAAGGCCACGTCCAATTATATTCAATTTTCACATTTTTCAAAAGACCAGCCTGTTTGCCACGCCTCCGGCCCTTCAAACAGCTGGCTGGTGCGCCTCTGGCGCGATTTGACCTTTTTCAATTTTTTCGTCGCTTCGCAACTCATTCTTTCTTGAAAGCTCATGTCAATATATTAAGTTGTTCGGAAAGTCCTTTCCATTTTTAGCGTCTGATACATTCAAAGTTTAATAGGTCAAAACGATGTCGGATAAATTGGAGGTAATGACCATCGTTATCAATGACTATCTGCCAATGCCCCACTAAATTTTGGATGCCTTCCTTCCAGAACTCCGGTCACAGCGACCCCCATTTATCACCACTAGCAATGGTTTGATTCCAACATTCATGTGTGCAACGCAGGATGAGAAGATTCAAACAGGTGCCAAAAAAAAAAAAAGAAAAAAGTTGCGTTGAGCCAAAAGATGGGGTCAATTTCTTCCCACTTTTTTGAGAGTTTTCAATCTACGGTTATTTAACGAAAGGCTTGCCACTGATGTACTTCATATATCACACGCAGTTTGAGGCGGGTCCCTTTCTTTTCCGGCTTTTAATGCATCCAAACCTAAGCTTATTCCGATTGTATCATTTTTACTCGAACTAACTCAGGCGATATTCCGATAATTTCACGTATGAGTTGGAAATAAATGTGATGTTTTGTTTCTTGATTCAACCGTGAATCTATTATCCTTGTCAGAGAAAAAAATGGTTGAGTCGAAGTGTATGCGATGTTTGTAAACAAATATCTGAAAGCGTAAACAACCGGAAACAGTTGAAACGAGTGCGACAGTAACCCGGCGGGAAAATATTAAATTTACTCATTTTTTAGCTTTTCGCATATTTTGCAGCAAATTTCGTCGAATATGGTTTGTTTTTCATTGTTTTTTGCTGTATTTTAAAATATATTCGTCGAAATTTGCTGCAAAATA